GTTGTAACCAGGCTACCCATCCCGCCATTATGGTCCGTTTTGTTCTTCTTCATGTTGATCACTCTGGGAATGGGCAGTGAGGTCAGCGTTTATGTATGATCCCACTTGATTTTCTTTTTTGTATCTGTCCATTACCAGGGCTCTGAGAGGAGACAAAGTAAAATATTATTGCACCCGACCTAGTTAGTTGTAGGAGCTGACTAAGGGCAGGCTTAGGGTCGTCTACCTCTTGCCAGTAATCACTATAGCCAGAAAAACCAACCAACCATGAGAAAGTCGAGAAGGATGGCTTGGCATTAGTTGGTTGAGAGCCTGTATTCTGTTGAGGGACAAAAGGCAGAAGAGGAAGAAGATCCATCTTTTCTTTTAACTTGCCTAAAGGCTAACTTGTTATCCACCTGGTACACTATATTTTATTTATGTTTTTTGTTTTTGTTTTGTTTTTGTTAAATCATTGAGCTGGGGTACTGCGGTGTTAAATTTTGGGTAGCGCGGTGTTAGAGCTGGGGTAGTGCGGTGTTAGAGCTGGGGTAGTGCGGTGTTAGAGCTGTGGTAGTGCGGTGTTAGAGCTGGGGTAGCGTGGTGTTAGAGCTGGGGTAGTGGGGTGTTAGAGCTGGGGTAGCGCGGTGTTAGAGCTGGGGTAGTGCGGTGTTAGAGCTGGGGTAGCGCGGTGTTAGAGCTGGAGTAGCGTGGTGTTAGAGCTGGGGTAGCGTGGTGTTAGAGCTGGGGTAGCGCGGTGTTAGAGCTGGGGTAGCGTGGTGTTAGAGCTGGGGTAGCGTGGTATTAGAGCTGGTGTACTGCGGTGTTAGAGCTGGGGAAGCCCGGTGTTAGAGCTGGGGTAGCGCGGTGTTAGAGCTGGGGTAGCGTGGTGTTAGAGCTGGGGTAGTGGGGTGTTAGAGCTGGGGTAGTGCGGTGTTAGAGCTGGAGTAGCGTGGTGTTAGAGCTGGGGTAGCGGGGTGTTAGAGCTGGGGTAGCGTGGTATTAGAGCTGGTGTACTGCGGTGTTAGAGCAGAGCTGGGGAAGCCCGGTGTTAGAGCTGGGGTAGCGCGGTGTTAGAGCTGGGGTAGCGCGGTGTTAGAGCTGGGGTAGCGCGGTGTTAGAGCTGGGGTAGCGGGGTGTTAGAGCTGGGGTAGCGCGGTGTTAGAGCTGGGGTAGCGGGGTGTTAGAGCTGGGGAAGCCCGGTATTAGAGCTGGGGTAGTGGGGTGTTAGAGCTGGGGTAGCGGGGTGTTAGAGCTGGCGTAGCGTGGTGTTAGAGCTGGGGTAGCGGGGTGTCAGAGCTGGGGTAGCGGGGTGTCAGAGCTGGGGTAGCGGGGTGTCAGAGCTGGGGTAGCGCAGTGTTACAGTTTTGTTTGTTTGTTGAATTCCACATTGTCCCATTGTGGGTTCAGGCATGCCAGTTTTATGGAGGTGTGGGGGGGGGAGAAAGACCCATTTTTCCTAATTCACATAACATAGGAGGTGACTGATCAGGAGTATTTCATTCAAAGTCAGAGTGCATCTGCCTGGGAAGTAAGTAACCAACAGTCTGCCTACAGGTAAGCAAATCTGTAAAACAGATGTGCATGCAAAACTCAAGTTCTGGAACAAGACCAAAGTCCAGAAGTGGACGAGCAACCAGAACTTTCTGCAGGATTTTAAGCCAGTGAACTCATGTGAGGAAGAATAAAAAAGATTCCACATTGAAGCAAATTTGAAGCAAGATGTGCAGAACAAGCAATGGGGAGCCAAGAAGGACCTGCTGCTGACATGCAAGTTCATAAAGGCAGCCCACCTCAGGTCTGACCTGGCATATGAAATCAGGATAAAGAAGAAGAAAAATAAGTAGAAGCTAATTTTTTATAAATTACCTGGGCCTACTGGTTAACCCAGTCTAAAATGGAGATGTTCTTGGAAGTAAAGATGGCTGACATGATGCTAATCACATCTCCCATCAGTTGCTGAAATAAGAGCTAACATCACGGCTTTCGAAATGTTCCCACAAGTGCTCCATCCACATCTTTAGCAGCCAGAACATAGTTCCATTTCTGACAGTACCAGGACCCAGGTCATCTTTGTGTGTGCGCCTCAGTTGTTCAAATCTATGTTGATTTGTTTGGCTTGGAATAAGAACATTTTCTCTGGCATCTTCCTAGTTTGCCCTGCTGGAGACAGTGATGACTGCCATCCAGGATACTTATCCCCCACTGAGGCAGAAGAAAGTGTATGTGGTGCTCACCGTCTCTGTGTTGGGATATCTGGGAGGTCTGGTTGTCTGTACGGAGGTGAGTAATCATTGGGAACATCTAAGCCTATGTGAGGGTTGATAAAGGAAGCAGCAGGCCTCAGATGAAGGTTGTGAAATAAAACATACTGCTTCACATTGAATTTGACAGTAACATTATAGCGGACCATTCAGAAAGCAATGGCAAACTATTCTTTTCCCTCCAATAGGCGCATCAAGCATATGGGAAAAGCACCAAAATGTTTACAGACCAATTGGCACTCGGTGGGTAATGTGGTCAGCATTATGCCGGCCGTATTTACTTTCCCAGGACATACATCCATTTAGGCTGGGTCGACCTGCGATGCCCCATACCATGATAAAAATCTACGCAGCCAGCAGTGGGTTTCGATCGCAGTACATTGGAATTACGAGTCGGACTTGCAACGCCTAAGCCACTGACGCCGCAATGGCAAACTATTGGATGTAAAAATTGCTTAGTTAAATACGAACAGCCAACAAAACCTGGGGCTGGTTTACAAGGTCCTGTAAAGAATATGCAGCAAACTAATTAGTGTAAGACTCCGCTTGTGGGTTTGAGGTCTCATTTTGAGGGAGAAGGAATGGACCCACTGTCCCGCCCTTACAAGTATGTCGTAAAAGTGAACTAATAAGAGGTGTTTCTTCAAAGCCAAGAGTGCTTTGCCTGAGAGGCAAGGAACCAGCAGTCTGCATATAGATAAGCAAGATCTGTAAAATTGATGTGGACACAAAACTGAAGATCTGGAACACAAGAAAAGTCCAGAAGTGGGTGAGCAACCAGAATTTTCTGTCAGAGTTTACAGCATATAAATCAAGAGGTGAAGGAAAAGACTGGTATTGGATAGGACATATGTTGAGAAAACCTGAGAACAGTATAATAAGAATGTCTTTTCACTTGAAGCAAACAGAAAGACTCATTTCAGAGATCTCGTCTTGCTCTGACACCGTGAGGCATTCCAGGAGAAGAGAAAAGATGTAGAAGCAGTAGTCTTTGCACTGGAACCCACAGGGGCACAGAAGTAAAGGCATACCAAAAAACACATGGAGTAAGGAGCTAGTGAATGAAGTTAAAAGTTGGGGGAGGGCATAGGGGTCAGCTGAATACACAAGAAAAGCAAAGGATATGACTACTTGGCATGAGCTGGTTAAGTGCCTGTATTCCATTGAGGTATAAAGGTGGGGGGGGGGGGGGGGGGGGGGGGGGGGGGGGGAAGAAGAAGACAGTGTAAGACATAATGTTTGATAGTTTGCAGAAATGTCTGACAATGTTTAAAGAAATAACCGCTTATTCAAATATAATAGAATCTTGGTGTCAAAAGGTTAAGTATATATCAAGATATCTATAAACGTAAGAAAATTGTTGATTGGCTGTTTAAACTATAAAATGTTGTTTTCAGATGAAGAAATATAAGACCTAATGTTTGATAGTTTGCAAAAAATGTCTGACAGTGAATAAAGAAATAACCACTCATTCAAAAATTTAGAATCTTGAGGTCAAAGAGTTAAGAATTTATCAAGATAACTGTAAACGTAAAAAGATGATTGTTGATTGGCTGTTTAAACTATGAAATGTTGTTTTTCAGGGAGGCATGTATATTCTTCAACTACTGGACACCTATGCTGCCAGTTGGGCTGTGTTTGTCATGGCTATATTAGAATGCATTATAATTGCCTGGCTCTATGGTAGGTATTGTTTATGCCTTTTGTGCTCGCTGAGTATGAATTTGTCAGTACATGATCTTTATTGTTTCTTCAGTGCTACCGAAATTGCTGTTATTTCCAAAAGCATTTCCTGATATACCAGGATATTCAGGTGTGTGTGGTAATGAGCAGGTTGACAGATTGGCTTCTGTCAGCCCTTTGGGTGGTGAGCTACTTTATGATGAAGTGGATGTGCTGCATGCTGTCTTGAGAGCAGATGAACAGTGCCATAGAACAGAGCATTCGCATCTGGATAGAATGATTCCACTAGGAGTGAGTAGAGAGTCTGGAAATTATTCTACCAGTCTGGCAAATACAAGCAAACTGCTAATCAGGTTGCAGCTGGGAACTTATCATTGGCTCCTGAAGGAGGAGATGGAGCATGTCTGGGAATACCCAAAGTGCTGTGATGTCAATTCTTGATTCTTTCATTTAATTTTTGCTGGAATATATTTTAAGCTTTGCCAGTCTGGGAATCCACTGAAACTTTAAAAAAGAAGGTACCATTTTCTGTATATGGGGATTGGAACTTTGCCTTAGGCCTGGCAGTCAAGCATTTTAACCAGTGGGCTATTCCTGGAGAGCCCTGGATGTTCACTCAGTTTTGACATGTGTGCAGTGAAAAGAGTGGGAGAAGTTACTTTTATTTGTAGTTAGTTGCGTATCCTTTACAGGCCGTTGTAGAACCAACCCCAACAGCCCCTGCTGTTATGTGGTTTTTCTAGGCAAATACGTCCAGTAATTTGCCATTGCTTTCTGGACGGTCGGCTTTTTTGATAAAACTGTCAAAACCAACACAAGGTGCATGGCCTGCTGCTGGGATCGAACCCGGCATCCGGGCATTACAAAGCATTCGCATCGACTTAGCCTTTTTTTTGCAGTAAAGCATGTTAAAGAGTGATACATTTACCTAAAAGATCTATCAAGTTTCACTTTTGGGTAATAAATACATTGGTCTCCCCACTGACTGCCTATATACACACTAGCTCACTTCTGATTGGTCGACCTCAAGCCACGCGACTTTGAGTCACTTTCACGGGGGGTGTTCCGCAATGCCGTTGACATTGCGTGTTGTATATTTCACCTTGCCAGAGGTTTTAACACTCTAAAAACATAGACAACTGGGTCTGATACCCAACCCCTTTAGAGAGTGATGAAACCTATGTCACAGGCAGACTCTTTCTCGGAATAAAAACGTAAATGCAACACAACAACAGACCGCGACACCCATAACCTCGACTACGGTAGACTAGTCAACAAACTTATCAATGAAATTGACCTACTTTCCGTGAGGAGACCAACGTTTCAATAAGCCACTTTTGTCATGTGATGAAAAATAAGGGTGACTGTTAATACTAAGAAATGAACTTCACTAAACACTTATTGTATGATGCCTGAGGAGTTCTCTAATACAGTTGTAGCTTTTGCCTTCAACTTTGCTTAAGTAACCTTGAAAAAAAAGAAGACTATCACTTCATAGTCTATCAAAGATTTGTGTCAAGATCCACCAAATGTGCAAGAGAAAAGATGCTGGACAACTTGACATCATGGCATGGAGGATCACCTAGAACTGACTGAAAGTACAGGAGACGGAAGGCTGTGGATAGACACAGCGTGGACTTTAAGAAGAAGAAGTTAAATTTCCCAGTGAAGGGATTTGTGTGTGTGTGTGTGCATGTGAAGGCAGATTAGAAGTTGTCTAGTGGATGTTTTCTGAATTTCTTTTGTTGTTATAAAATAGCCCAGAAATCCTCTGTACACTTATGACGGAAGAGTCACTGAGTTTATTTTACTGGGATTATATAGACAATGAGCACGAAAAATGGGGAAGACCATGCACAAGATTTAACAAGATATTATGAGCCTCGCTAAGAAATCATGATCAATATATTCAGTACAGTAGAAAAAGCACATAGAAGATCCTTACGAGGAGATTACTAGGGGAAAAGGAAAGAAGAAAAAGACAGCTGAGTCATTGATTTTCTTGGATTATTACTTAATACAGTAATTTTCCTTGGACTTTCTGCCTTAGTTTACAGCCTGTGCATGTGAGCAGAAGAAGAAGAAGAAGAAGAAGAAGAAGAAGAAAATAATTTCTGATTACAAGTAATAGAAGAGCGCAGTAAAGGAGGAGGAGGAGGAGGAGAAGAAGAAGAAGAAGAAGAAGAAGAAGAAGAAGAAGAAGAAGAAGAAGAAGGAGGAGGAGGAGGAGAAGAAGGAGGAGAAGAAGGAGGAGAAGAAGGAGGAGGAGGAGAAGAAGAAGGAGGAGGAGAAGAAGAAGGAGGAGGAGGAGAATAATTTCTGGTTGTAATCGGGTCATATTTGTCTTGTTATTTGCTCCCTGCAGGTGCAGACGCTTTCATGAGGGACATTGAAATGATGATTGGTCAGAAGAGTAGAGCATGGCACATGTTTTTCACCTTCTTTTGGAAGTTTATGACACCTGCCACGCTTCTGGTAAGTCTGTTGGCATTCAGAGAGGAATGACAGTTTTTAAATGTGTATATGAGAAGGCGTCAGACAGTTATGCACTTTAGCAAGGGAAGTCAGTTAGATCGTCATCAAACAGCATATCCTTTACAGAACGTTGCTCTTATCATGGCATGCCTCAAAATCTGTCTTTCTCTAGCCAGTTCTCCAACCATGTGTGCTTTCGTAGCCAGTGCATCATTATTGTCTTGTGTCCACCTTCATGGAGGTCTGCTTCTACCTTATTTCCCTGAAACTACCCTCCATCACCATTTTCTCCAGGCCACCGTGACGTTTAAAGGGTAAAGTCGGGAGAGTGAACCAGCGTCACTGCACATGGTTATAAACCATAAGTGTTCTGCCACCAGTACAGATAGCTGATAAGAAACTGTCTGCCTGTGTCACCGTCCGCACACAACTCCATAGCTACAGCAACGTTTTTCCATTGACCCCAGAGTTTTAACTCTGGTACCCTCTAATCTCTTCTTCACCTTCTCAGTGAACTGATTACAGAACTTCTTCACCAGGGCCCAGCTAAGACAACCTTAAATCAAAAAGTGTGTTTACTTTTTCTCCACTCCTTCTTTTCCAACTCCCACATGTCTTCCCTCCCCACCCCCCAGTTCTTCCTCCTCTTCCTTTTCTTCTCCATTGATCAGTGTTTGCACCCAATCCGCAAGTAGCAGAGTCAGTAAGACCCATACGATCTCACAATTCAGTGAAAACTCACCATTGTGACGTGTTAATGACTCACTTTAATATTGAAATTGTCAAACAAAAATTTTATAACTCAGAATTATCTCAACATATTTTTCTTATGTAACTTGATACTAAATTCATGATACATTTTTTTCTCTGTTTATTCAACTATGGAAGAGAAATAACAAGGTAACATATAATGCAAGAGAGTGTTTCTGTTTTCTCCAGTTCCTGCTGTTTTTCAATTGGATTGACTACAAACGAATGTCTTATAAAGGCAAGGTGTACCCTGTTGTGGCTGAGCTGTGTGGCTGGTTTATGGCTTTTATCCCAATATTGATCATCGTAGCACTAGGAGCCTGGAGCTTCTACCAGTCACCAAAGGAAAAGACATTCAGAGAGGTATGTTGTTCATCACTCCCCCCCCCCAGCTAGACCCCCCCCCCCCCCCCCCCCCCCCCCTTACCGCATAAGATAATCCCAGCCAGTAGAAAGAAGCATCTCATACAAAGAATATTTATTCCCGCTCTAAGCTACCAGTGTCAGACATAGTCGGTCACACACAACAAACCAGTAAAGTTGGTAACCATGGAAATTAGATGTCTGAGAAGAGCTGCAGATGCGACAAGAAGAGATAAGAATCAGGAATGTAGGTCATAAAAGAAAAAGTCAGCACAGAGCCAATTCTAAATTACATAGAGAGCAAATCAAATAACTTCCCACTTAATGAGAATGTCTTATGATGGTAGACCAAGGACAAGATTGAAAGATAGCATCAGGGAAATGAGACATGTTGTGTCTGTGGTCAAAATTGCAAGAAGAACAAGAAGCAAAACCTTATGTCTCCTGCGACACCTGAAACGGCATAAGAGGAAGTAAGAAACAGAAGATGTGTCACTTTTTTAGAGCAGCATAGTACAGGGAGGGGTCTTGAGCCCGAGGATTTAGGGCCTTTTGGCTAGAGCAGCCACCACATGTTACTGTATAATACAAAAACTGAACCTTAGGTCAATACAGTTTTGTCCTGCAGTGCACAGTTTATTTAGTGATGTTAATATACTTCATAAGGAGCAGCTGGCTGAATGGTTACAATGCTGGGCTGTCATGCGGGAGTCCTGGGTTCAAATCCTCGATAAGGCTGGGGATTATTTCTGTCAGGGGCCAAAAAAAATCCTCACCTGCACGGTCGTGGCGACAGCACTAGCCATGCGGCCGTAAATCCTCAGGCTCAAACCCCCGCCTACAACGCAAAAGTCGTATCACAAAGGCTGTAATTGGCAGTTTGTTTGGCAATATACTTCATATGAACAATGGCCCATGTCAAATGTTTTTTTTTTTTTAATGGTAAAATACAGGGTGTGAGTCATAGACCATTTCACAGTCACTTAAGAAGAGAATCAGGGCATTTGGACTTAACTTCTGCAGATATATTCTTGCAGCGCCATGTTCACTTATTATACTGTTTTGAAACTCAGCGTCATAGCACACTGGGCTTACCCATAGGTGCTCAGTCTCCCACAACAAATGTCTTAAGGTCTAAATGCTAACTGTTCTCGTAGCTTGCTGATTATTCACACATTGTTCTCTTCCTCTCGTATGTTCTTCCTTGACGGATCCACTCCTAATTACACATTCACACATTCTTACACTTGTTATTTCATCTAACCTTGTAGCTTCTATCTACATTTGTTCGTAAATGGTCTTCAGAATGTCTCCTTTGCCTTGTGCCAGTTTCCTATTGCTGTCACTTTTGTAACCAAGTAATCCTCTCTTTCATTCCCTTGCACTCCTGCATCGGTCAGAAAGTCTGTCTATGCGAGTCCCTGCAATTTTTATAGTGCTGTATATCAAAATGAAGACAGACGCTGACGTTTCCTAAGCTCTTGACATGGCAGAAATCTAGTTCATAAACAGCATTAGGTAAAAAAAAAAGCAGCCATTCTTCAGCCATATTAACTCTTTCAGTCACAAATGGCGCACATACATTCACAGTTTCCTACCTAGAAGCCCAGTAAACACAAGATGTACTGATTTTATGTCTCTCTTGACTAACACTTGGGCCTCTAATGCTAAACCTAATGGGACTATAAAAGTTAATGACCATAGTGTTTTAGAAAGAAAATTAATGAAAGTCATGATTCCTGATAGATGAGGGCATTAGTTGACAAACACAAAGGTGGACAAGATATTGCAGACACCTTGGGGCAGGAAATTGATTGAGGCTAGTACTTAGGTAGGTAGTTTGATCCCTTCAGGGATGCAGTGTGCAGGATCATCACCTCATGGATGAGAATGCTGCATGTACCGATCCCAGTAAGCCCTATTCAAATGTAAAGTTATATTGGGCCCCCCCCCACCCCCCCCCCCACCCTCCTCCCCCCCCCCCCCCCCCCCCCCCCCCCCCACCCCCCCCCCCCCCCCCCCCCCCCCCCCCCTGACAGTTACAAGGTAACCTAAAATCCGGATCAGGCTGGGGATTGTGCTTGAAGCAGGATAAATGGTAAGGCATCATGACCCTTTCCAGCCAGGTGGGATTTGTGCCATGTTCTGCCAACTGCCTGCCACCTTATAATCATGAATAAGTGCAAGGAAGGGTTTGTTTATTAATCATCCCTATCCTTAAATGTGACAAGATTACAAACATCAAGGTATTGGAAAGAGCAGATATCACAAAGTTTTCACAGGGCTGAGTGTCTTAAAGCTAAGTTGGCTGGGACACATTTGCAGAATGCAGGATGATAGGACATTTTCTATGGTGAATCACAGATAGGTAGAAAATGTTAAGGTCTGCCTTTACTTTGACTTATAGACATGTGCAAGCAGGATATGAATGATACAGGTAATGAGGGAGATTAATGGAAGCACGATACCACAGACCATGTTGCCTGAAGGGGGAGATCAGGAAGCCAATTATGATACAGCAGAAGATAATTGCAGTTACATTAGGAGCTGAGTATCTGAGAAGACAAACATCAACTCTCTGAGTCCCAGGGGATTTAGCATCAGAGGCCCAAGGAGCAGTCAAGAGAGATGTAAAATCAGCGAATCTTGCGTTCATTGGGCCTCTAGGCACAAACCTATGAATGTCTGGTGCGTTCCTTGGGACTCAAGGAGTTAAACACATGCGATGGCAACAGTGATCATGAAATTCCATGCTCAATTGTGGAAGACTTTTCTCAGTATGAGCTGCTTGTGCAAGTTACACTCACCTCTCACCAAATTGTTACTGTAGCTGAGTATGTAAACCAGTTACACTCACCTATCACCAAATTGTTACTGTAGCTGAGTATGTAAACCAGTTTATTACTATATCGAGTGCACTAACCACACTGTTACTGTAGCTAAGTATGTAAACCAGTTTATTACTATAGTTGAGTGCACTAACCACACTGTTACTGTAGCTGAGTATGTAAACCAGTTTATTACTATAGTTGAATGCACTAACAAAATTGTTACTGTAGCTGAGTATGTAAACCAGTTTATTACTATAGTTGAATGCACTAACCACACTGTTACTGTAGTTGAGTATGTAAACCAGTTTATTACTATAGTTGAATGCACTAACCACACTGTTACTGTAGTTGAGTATGTAAACCAGTTTATTACTATAGTTGAATGCACTAACAAAATTGTTACTGTAGTTGAGTATGTAAACCAGTTTATTACTATAGTTGAATGCACTAACAAAATGTGTAATATAGTTAAGTGCACTAATATAATTGTCACTACTGAGTGCACTAACAATTTTTTTTAAACTCTGGTTAGTGCACTAACAAAATTGTTGCTATAGTTGAGTGCACTAACAAAATTGTTGCTATAGTTGAGTGCACTAATAATTTGCTACTATAGGAGTGCCTTACGATAACCAGTCTGTTACTATACTTAAGTGCAGTAACCAATTTTGTATTATTATTTTTATTTGAGTACTTTTCAGTAGAGTGTGCTAATGAATATGTTACTATAGTTGAGTGCACTAACCACACTGTTACTCTAGTTAAGTATGCTAACCAGTTTGTTACTATATTTGTGTGCACTAACAAAAATGTTACTGTAGTTGAGTGCACTAATAAAATTGTTACTATATTTGAGTGCATAAGCAAAATTGTTACTATAGTTGAGTACATTAGCAATTTGATACTATAGGTGAGTGCACTAACCAGTTTATTACTACATTTGAGCACACTTACCAGTTTGTTACTATACTTGAGTGCAGTAACCAATTTTTTAAAACTATAATTTGGGTGCACTAACCAGTTTGTTACCATAGTTCATATAATTGGGTTTTTCTTGTATCCATCCATGTATACCCTTTTGATTTATAATTCCTTGATTAAAATGCAGTAATTTTTTACCTACAGAAAATCAGACGCATGTGTAATCCAACTCCAAAGTGGGGCCCAGCTCACAAAGTTCCACAGTTTGATTCTGCAGACATTGCCAGTGGAAAGGCAAGAATAGTGACCAACCCAGGATTCTCTGTCAACGGCCACCCTTTTGAGACACCAATTTAGCTTTAAACATCCTGGTTTCTCGATTAACACCTAACCAACCCTTATGGGACATAAATCAAGCCAGAGGTTTCTTTTGTCAGTGACAGCTTCTTCAATGACTGGCTAAATTCAAGATTTTTTGTCGGCGGCATCCCTTTGAACTCTTTCAGTCCCAGAGGGTTTAGCATCAGAGGCCCTAGGGATAGTGAAAAGAGACATGAAATCAGTGTATCATGCGTTCATTGGGCTTCTTGGTAGGAACCAATGAACACAAGATGTGTTCATTGGGACTGAAAGAGTTAATACACAAATGTAGCTAGTGGTCACATTATTTGAAAAATCAAATGCTAGGTGTAAGAACCTCAGACTCATGAGACAGGAAAGAAATATAAAATAATAAAGAGAAGAACAGATATTGTCATATCCAGTTTAACAAACAAATTATTTAGTTAGATCATCCTTACTGCACATGAACCATTTAGTCCATTTTTGTTTGAATGCTTTCCTCAGTAATTTCTTCTGTGTGCAGTAGCTGATGTCACCTCTTCTTTGGCTTCCTTACAGTGCACTTGTCTGGCCTTACCTCTTTTATGTTGTTGTTGTTTTTATTGTTGCAGTCTGATGATGGCTGCAGACTTACAACCATCACTTGATTCTGGCAGATGTCTTACTTCTCATAGACATTCAGTTTATCAGAGAACCAAGAAAACAGCCCGGCTCATTGCTTCTTATCCCTCAGTAGAAGCCTTATCTGTTTGCTCATTTCCTTTTACACCTGCATGTCCTGGGACAAAATTGAAACTGTCTTTGTCAGCCTTGACCACATCTAAGACTCAAACTACAGGAGACTCAGTACATCTCTCTTTTCCTGAACATTCTCATTGAGTAACAAACAGAAGCTCGTATAAGCTGTATATGCTTGTATATGTTTTTGTTTTCAAAGCTATTATGTTATTTCTTGAGATATAGAGATTTTTATGTATTCATTCTTTTTAGGGTTTTATAGAAACGTTAGCTCAGAATAGATATATAAAAGTCTGTAATGAGAAAATTTAGTTCTACACAAGCGGTTGTGATTAATTTTATCAACAAACATATAAATTAGGTATGAACCAAACAGCTCTCTTAAAGTGTCTTTGTGCTGAACAGACTCCAGAACAAATCTTACAAGATCTTGGTGGAGCAACATATGGCCACACCCAGTAGACCTGACAACCAAGCTTTGGGGAAACATAGGAGACCTTGAGATGACATCACAGTTTATGGCCCACAGTGGATTTTGCCTATGATCAAAGATTGCAGAATGGGCTGCATCATTGCAAGAGATTAAGAATCAAAGATGGAAACTATGGTGATCTCTGAGGACAAAGAAATACCACAAGTAAATGGCTCAGTTCTCAGACAGGTGAATCTGTATCTTAAAACAGTCATATCAATATATGTATACTGCCTTGTATTAGAGATTAGAACAAGAATTTCCATGGCAGAAGTAGCCTTTTGCAAGACTGGAACTAAATTTCACCAGTGAAATAATGCTTTTTGAGTTTTGAGCTGAGGACTAACATCACAACACTCAGGACTTTCCCAAAAGCAATCTGTCCTCATCTTCAGCAGCCAGCAAAGAGCTCAACTTCCAATGGGGCCAGTAGCAGTTTGATTATATGTCTGTCTTGCCTTGTCTTGGAGTGTAGACCAGATCCCCTGGTCACTCCTAGCTGGACCTCTCCTGACCAAAATGATTTAATAGGCAAGAAAAAGTGTGAAAAGCCTCTGTTGTTGTATACACATGAGATAGGGGTGATAAATGGACAAGCTGGGAGATACATGGTGATAGAGAAGGGATTTTTTTCTGAAAGAGTGCTGAGGGTACAGATGACAAACCGAGAGATGGGTGGGGGTGGTAAAAAATGGCAGTTTTTGGTGATGGTAAAAGAAAAAAAAAACTTTAGGATCTGGTGGTGACTGATGAGTTTGCTAAGTAGAAGAAAGGGCATACTGTATTTTTCCATGTATATGATGCCCATTTTATTAGATGTCCCCATGTATTGTTGCCCCCATATATAAGATGGCCCCAATTATTTTAGCATAAAATTAAGAATTAACTATTTTAATCACATTCCGTTTATAAGACAACCCCAATTTTAAACTTAAAAAAAAAATTTGGGAAAACACGTCGTCTTAGACATGGGAAAATATTGTAAGTGCCCCGCTGGCTGCTTGGTCACATGACATGAGCAGCATGGGAGTACAGCCTCTGTTCTGAGACTTAGGGATAATATGAGATGGCTAGTCATGACCACATGTGCTCATCGACATGGCGTGTGATGGGGATAATTTTTGTCAGTGGGCCAGAACTTGGTTCCGCTTAGGAGAAGATGGAGGAATCATATCACGGCCAGCATATGGAGCTGCCCTCACTACAGGAGGCATCTCTCCAGACTTATTTGATGCACATTTTGAAGATAAATATATATATTAAAAAATAGCTAGATTGTGATTTTTAGTCATAGCTAAATGTAGCTAGAACATGATTTATCTCATCTTTAATCATATCAAGAAATAACTAGATTGTAATTTGGGTTTAGTCATAGCTAGATGTAGCTAGAATATGATTTATCTCATATTTAATAATATCAAGAAACAGCTAGTGTGATTCGTGTTTGATCATCACTAGATGTAGCTAGAACATGATTTATCTCACATTTAATCATATCAAGAAATAGTCTGATTTTGTTTAGTCATAGCTAGAACTTAATCTCATATTTGATCATGTCAAGAAATAGTATGATTTTGTTTAGTCATAGCTAGATGTAGCTAGAACTTAATTTATCTCATATTTGATCATTTAAAAAATAGCTTGATTTTGATTTGTGTCTAGTCATAGCTAGATGTAGCTAGAACATGATTTATCCCATATTTAGTTATATCAAGAAATAAGTGGAATGTGATTTGATTTTAGTCATAGCTAGATGTAGCTAGAACATGATTTATCCCATATTTAGTCATATCAAGAAATAGCTAGAGTGTGATTCGTGTTTAGTCATAGCTAGATGTGGCTAGAACATGATTTATCTCATATTTAATCATGCAAAGATAGAGTGTAATTTGTGTTTGGTCTAAGCTAGGTGTAGCTAGAGCTTGATTTATCTCATATCTTTATGTTTATTTTTTTTATTTTTTCTCATATCTCATTTTCATATATCTTTGTGATCAAGATATAGCTGAAGTGCGATTTGTGTTAAGTTATAGCTAGGTGTAGTGAGAACATGATTCATTGGACATGGTTACATGGATAAATTGCTTTATATATTTTGTTTTAATTGCATAATATAACCACTTCAGTAAAATGTATGGCTCTTTCTCTCATATGTATTGGAATATTTGCCTTATTTATGTTACATGTGTAAAAGTTAGTTGCATATCTTTTACATGACGTTGCAGAACTATCCCCAACATTTTTTTGGCTGTTGTGGTTTTTCCAGACAAATTTTATATTAAGTGGTTTAGCTTCTGAACTGTCATTTTGCGGTACCACTGTCAAAATCAACACAAGACAAATTTTCAGCAACAGAGATCGAACCCTGCACTACAGCACTGTACATGTATACAGTTGATTATTCCCCACACACACATTTGTGACTCATTCAGTCTTTTAGAACACACTGTTCCGAGGAGGAAAAGGTGGGGGGGGGGAGGGTTGGGCCTCACTGCACCCTAGAAGCATGTTGTCAAATAGCCACTAATGAGGAGTTTGTTTAAATCAGTTGTGTCGAGCTGAAAGATGCAGATAACATAACCTAGATAGATGTAAACAACACAACCTGACTGCCCTCCTCTTAAAAGCGAACACAAGCAAAAGACAAGGAATACACAGAATATTAGAATTAAATCAATATTAGACAGGTTGTTTTTTTTCTTTTTGTCACTGAGCTAGATGCTCATCTGTGGATCCGAAGGTCCTGGGTTTGGGTACTCATGGAACCAGACTTTTTTCAAAAATGACCTTGGCTCCCAGGTCGACCCAGCCTTGAGTGGGTACCAAGTGCATCCTGGGAAGTAAAGGCGGCCGGCGTGATGTTGACCACATCACCCACCAAGTGCCGATTGGTCTGTAAAATATAGGTCTAGCCCTATATGCCCAATACACGAAGCTGTGGAAAGGGTCCTTTACTTTATTCTTTAATGGTTTAAAAAAAAAAAAACTTTCAAGAAACAAACAAATCTGAATAATTTTTAATGCTGTGTCTTGTTTTTTATTATTTGACATGTTTTACAAAGAGCTGAATCTCTTGATTTTATTTAGTTGTGGGGAACGAAGCGTATTTTTTAAAATAGTTTTCATGAAGGTTTTTAGTTTCTAAAGAGAGATTGATCTTGTCATGTATTTAAATTTAGTTTTGAAATTAAAAAAAAACTTTGTGCTTGAAATATTTATCTTCCAGCATGTATAAGTTGATTTTATTTTGCTGTGAGGAAAACAGCCAGTTGTTGATGATTAATTCAGTCCATGAAGAGGAATCTCCTGATTAACCGTTAATTCAGTTTTGATGTTGTATAAAATATATTTGAAATATTCTTATACAGGAGTGCATTATATTTTATTGTATTTTATTTTATTGTGTGGAATAAAACTAATTGTTGATTTGTTGAGCTCATTAAGAGATCATTCGCTAGACATATTTCAAATTCATTTGTTAAATCTAGTTGCTTGTCCTGTGTTCATTTTGCATTGGGGCATATGTTTATAGCTGACTTAGGGATATATTTATATACACACATAAAATATGCTTTGCCAATAGGCATGGGCTGTCTTGTTTTGCCAGCTCACATGATTACCAGAAGTATAGATCAGGTTAGTGTTCTTGTCATCGATATGGCTGAGCCATCCTAGTATTTATCTCTTTGCCTTTCCTTGATCTCGTTCGACCAGTCTTGCTGGTGTTAACCAAATGTTTTTCACTCCATTC